ATAAGTGGAATCAACCCTTTCCTCTTCAACTTACATTTTATAATGGTGTTTTCATTGCAGCAATAGGAACCCTAGCTGAGATACCCCTACAATAATAATATTAATTAAAAATTTAAAATTAAGAACCCAAGACACTAAGTTTGTATATTATACCTGACCACCCTACCGTTCCATCTTACCAAGAGGCTCGTGGCTTGTTATCTCACATCTTGCTTTCCTGGCAGCTGCTGATGTCTCTCAGACTCTGCCTTCTTTTGCCCTGTATCTTTGCTTGGATTTACTGCCTGGTTCTATTCTGCCAAATAAGCTTCTTTATTAATAAGTGGTAATAAAACATATTCATAGCATACAGAAGGGCATCCCACATCACAGTATCCCCAATGTATATATATTTATTCAAGAAATATCCTAACATTACATATATTTTAAAATACTTTAGAACATATGAGCCTGGGAAGATACTTGGGAGAGTGTTTGCCTTGCAAGCTTGAGAACCTGAGTTTGGACCCCAGGATCCACATGAAAAGCTGAGTGTGATGGTGCACACTTGTAATTCCTACCCATAGGAAATAGAGATATGTGTATCTCTGGGGTTTGCTGGCCAACCAGCATAGTGTATCCAGGGAGCCTTGTCCTGATGAGATACAGGGTGAGCAGATACTAAAGAATGACAGCCAAAGTTAACCTCTGGGCACACACACAGTCTCTTTAGTTGTTTCTCAGGGTTTTTTGTTGTTGTTGTTGTTGCTTTTGTTTTTGTTTTGTAGAAACAGGGTGTATTGTCTTCCCTGCTGTGTAGCTCAGATTTTCCACTCCTAGATTTCTTCGCTTCAGCCTCCCAAGTACTCACCCATTTTTCCTTTCATAGAACTCATTCTCAGTGGTTCCCAACCTTCCTGATGCTGTGACCTTTAATATAGCTCCTCATGGTATGGTGGCCCCAACCATAAAATTATTTTCATTGCTACTTCATAACTAATTGTGCTACTGTTATGAATCATAATATAAATATCTGATATGCAGAGTAACCTACCTCAAATTCTACATTTGTTTGACTTAGCAGTCTTTCTGTACTGCTGTATTCTTGAGCTACCTGAGTAGCTCTTTAATTTTTTTATGTCTTACAACAACATCTAGCATAAGAAATATATATTTGGCTTTCTGTGCCAAAATCGTACCCGCCAACATGGTGAACGTTCCTAAGACCTGCCGGACATTCTGCAAGAAATGCGGCAAGCACCACCCCACAAAGTGACACAATACAAAAAGGGCAAAGATTCTTTGTATGCCCAGGGAAAGCGGCGTTTTGACAGGAAACAGAGTGGCTATGGTGGGCAGACTAAGCCTATTTTCCGCAAAAAGGCGAAAACTACAAAGAAGATTGTGCTGAGACTGGAATGTGTGGAGCCCAACTGCAGATCTAAGAGGATGCTGGCTATTAAGAGATGCAAGCATTTTGAACTGGGAGGTGATAAGAAGAGAAAGGGACAAGTGATCCAGTTCTAAGCTTGTTAAGAAGACAATAAAATCATGAGCTTTCAAAAAAAAAAAAAGAAATATATATTTGTTAATTCATTTCTTGTGATTTCACTGATGGCTGGAAAATGAAAGAACATCACAAGCATCTTCTAGTAATTCTGGGTTTTGTGTCCTGTGGTTTTTTTGTTTTGGTTTGTTGTTGTTTTTTCCAGACAGGATTTTTCTCTGTAGCTTTGGAGCCTGTTCTGGAATTTGCTCTGTAGACCAGGCTGGCCTCAAACTCACAGAGATGCACTTGCCTCTGCCTCCCAAGTGCTAGGTTTAAAGGTGTGGGCCACCACCGCCTGTGGGCCTGTGCTGTTCTTTTGAGATTAAAGATAATCTTGTGTGTCTAAATTCACAGTTTGGAGGAAGTAGGTGTGCCTACAGGCCAGAAGTAGGCACCAAATCTCATTACAGAAGGTTGTGAGCCACCATGTGGTTGCTGGGAATTGAACTCAGGACTAAGTTCAATTAACCACTAAGCATCTCTCCAGCCCCAAATTTGTTTTCTTTTAAACTAATGTATATTGCTTACATTTATGTAAAAGCTGTTTTCCAAAGAACTGTGTGATTTCCGTCTTTTCACAGTAGTAACTAGCCATTAGTACACTTTTGAATAAACTGCTCCATTTTGTTAGGCAGTAGTTGCAGATTTATTTTTACCTCATTTTCAGCTGTACTGTTTAACAGCAGGTTCTATTCCTCTCTGCCTAGAAATGTGGCCTCTGGAGACATTGACAGCACATAAACTGACCTTTCTGTAGGGGATCAGCTGTTCTGAGCTCTCTCTCTCTCTCTCTCTCTCAGGACTGTCACTCCAAGCACACAGACTGGTTAAGCTAATCCCCCGGACTTCAGTCCTGGAACTTGCTTTGTAGACCAGGCAGGACTCGAACGCACAGAAATTTACCTGCCTTCCTCCAGGGTGCTGGAATTAAAGGCGTGTGCCAGCTCTTCCTGGCACCATTACTCCTTTTTATTTTTTTATTTTTTGAATTCTTCTATAGTTTCTCTAGGCCATATGTAGCTAACAAAGGAAGAAATCAGAGGGTTTTTTTTTTCTTCATCTTGTAAAAATGACAGAGCAAAACTGGAATGATGGTACAAGGAAGGCATAGGTACCCTTGTCCCCAGACTTGAGCTCCTGACACAAGGCCAGGCTGATATTACTGAGATTGGAGGATTGTAGGTCATTTCAGAGCACGTGGCTGGGCAGTGCAGAGAAGAGCAGTATTCTTCCTGGAACAATCCCATATTGGGTGCTGGGAATTGAACCTGGGTCCTCTGGAAGAGAATCCGTGCTCTTAACCGCCGAGCCATCTCCCCATTTCCCAGAATTTTTTTAAATTTCAATTTTATTTTAAACTATGTATATGTTTGGGGAGCATGTGAATGCAGGTTCTTGTGGAGGTCAAAAGAGTACATCAGATTCCCTGGAGCTGGATGCTGGGAACCAGGACTATTCCTAGAATTCTGAATTTTTTTTCAAATTTAGTAGTTGTTTCTTTGTTTATGTGAGGCTAGGTCTCTCAAACTAAACCCATTCTGGCCTTATATTCACAGTCTATCTCAAGTTAGCTTCAAAACTAACATCGATCCTCCTGTCTCAGCCTCCCAAGTAAGTAGAATGATTACAAACCCAAACTGCTGTATTCAGCTACTTCTATTTTTTTTCTTTTGAGACAGGGTCTTGCTATATTATAAAGCCCAGAGTGACCTCAAACTCACAGTCCTCCTTCCCTGTTTTCAAAATGACCTAAACTAATTTTTAAATCATTGTTGTACCTCTTCTGTGTTCTAATAAGCCTGGGCCATTTTTGTTTGATTGATTTGGTTTAGGGGAAGGGAGTTCTGAAGTATTCTCACTTTGTAGCTTAGTCTGGATTCACAATTATGGTCTTGCTCTTATCTTAGCCAGCAAGTGCTAGAAATACAGGAGTGAGCTAGCAATCCTGGTTTTTAGATGTCTTTTTTCATTAGTGAAACAACCCCCATATCGATCGTGTGTGATGTTTTGTTATGTTTGAGACGAGTTCTCACTGTGCAGACCAGGATAGCCTGGAATTCACGGTGATCCACTTGCCTTCTCATGTTGCACCTGATTCTATAGTTTTCTATACTGATTCTATAGTTTTCTTTTTTTATATGTATTGTGATTTGCCTACATTTGTGACTGTGCACTACATATGTACAGACTCATGGAATCCAGAACAGGGCCTTGGATCCCTTGGAACTGGAGTTGCAGGTGGTTGTGGGCTACCATGTGGGTGCTGGAAATTGAACTCAGGTCCTTGAAAGGAGCAGTCAGTGCTCTTAACTGCTCTAAGCCATCTCTCCACTTGCAGTATGCTCCAAAAAAGCCTTAGCAATTAGTGCCACCAGCATGAGCCAGGAAGCTGTCTCTTAAAGGAGCAGCAGTTTTTGCTGCTAATGCTGAGTCAGGACGCCTTCTCTTAAAGGAGTTATGTCTCTGCTTGCCTCTAGCAAACAGAGCCCACCCGAGAAAATGTTGCTACTGAAAGACCCCACCAAACTTGAAAGACCCCCCATGTCCACATACTATGTTAAACTCTGCTGAAACTTAACTGAGCCATGGGCGGGGGGGAGCCCCCAGGCTCAGCTAATAACTCTGCGAAATTTAGCTGGGCCATG